AATAAAATAAAACACACTTCAAGTCTTTAACTGGCTTTGTTTCATGCTTATAATACCATTTCAACCCTGAAACCTTGTACATTCCTTAGCATGACTGGCAAGCCAAATTGATCTACAAAGGCCTATATTTCTTGTTTTAAATAAAATATTCCCTTAATTAACTTCAATTGCTCTTCTCAGTTGGTGGAACTGCTTAGGGCTTCAAAAGAGGCGAAGGGACAGCGAATCTCCATTTTGATTTCAGATTGCAGCAGACAGAGAGACAGGCACGTTCAAGCAGCAACATGCCTTCTTTGAACGGATTATATGAAACCGCTCTTCTGAGCGGTCACGATCCACTTCTCAAGCGCGAGAAATCGGGAATATCCAGGCAGTTCAGATGAATATAAAGGTTTATTGCAAGCTTAAGCTCTCTACAAGAATCTGAACTACTAATGGGAGTCAAGCTATTCTTCAAAGCAACTGAACACAGAACAAGAAGCAACGGATGGAAACCAGTGAAAGGAGAGAAGCAATGTAGAACTAAGGAAAAACTTCCTGACTGTTAGTCTAACAAAGCAAAGGACCAGGAGGTGATGAGATAGCTATCTTCCAGTATTTGAGGGGCTGTCACAGAGAAAGCACCTGAAGGTGATGGAAACTAATCAAGGAGAGAAGCAACCTAGCATTATGGAGGAATTTCCTGACAGTGAGAACAATTAATCAATGGAACAGCTTGCCTTCAGAAGTTGTGGGTGCTCCATCACTGGAGGTTCTTAAGAACCACTCATGATGGCGAACCTTTTCCATGTTGTGTGGCAAAAGTGCCCATGCGCACCCATGTTGCAATGCACGTGAGACTCCCCCCGCCCAGGGGTGGGATTCAAATTTTTTAACAACCAGTTCTGTGGGCGTGGCTTAGTTGGTGGGCATGGCTTGGTGGTCATGTTATTGGCTGGGTGTAGTCAACTCAATATCACTCACATCGAGGCACGCATCTCCTTGCCTGGCCTCTCATGACTGTGGGGATGCTGCAACAGTCGTAAGTGTGAAAAAGGGTCATGAGTCACTTTTTTCAGTGCCATTGTAACTTTGAATGGTCACTCCACACAAGCAAAGTACCAGCAAAGGAGGGGAAAAAAACTCCAGAGAAATTCCTGACACAGGAAGTCTAGTCCTGCCAAGAATGTAATAAGGGTTAATGGAGAGGCAGTTTCTGTAAGCAACACCAGAATGTTTCCTTCCTGCCTTCCTTACAGGATTAGGCCAGTCATTTCTTCTAACAACCGGTTCTCCGAACTGCTTAGAATGTTAACAACCAGTTCTAGCGAATAGGTGCGAACTGGTAGAATCCCACCCCTGCCCTCGCCTCCCTGTGCATGTGCACGCAACGCCCCTGCACCACATGCCTCTACGCATGTGCAGGCAACCCTGCATGCCACATGCCTCTGCGCATGCATGTGCGTCTCCCTCCATGCACGCACAGCAGATACCCTGACAATCATCTGGCTGATGGGGGGCATGCCGCATGCGCAGTAGGGCTCTACCGGGCGACCTCTCGCATGTCAGCAGAAGTGGCTCTGCATGCCACTTCTGGCATGCATGCCATAGGTTTGCCATCATGGGTATAGGGTCTCCTGCCTAAGGAGGGGGTGAGATTAGAAGACCTTGACAGACTAGAACACTGGGCCGTATCTAACAAAATGAAATTCAGTGTAGAGAAAAGTAAAGTCCTACACTTAGGAAAGAAAAACCAAAAGTTACACATATTGACTGGGTGAAACCAGACTCAATAACAGTAACTGCGAGAGGGATCTTGGAGTCTTACTGGACAACCAGCTAAATAAGAGCCAGCCGTGTGCAGCAGCAGCCAAAAAAGCCAATGCAATCCTAAGTTGCATTAACAGAGGGATACAATCAAGATCAAGGAAGGCACTAATACCCCTCTATAAAACCTTAGTAAGACCACATCTCTAATCCCGCAACCACTTTTGGTCACCCTGTTTGTTCCCCAAATTTTGTGCATTTGTATATAAGCACTCTTACAGTTTTAATGCCTGACTCTGGGTATGTCTCCTAGTTAGTATTTGAGTGGTCTTCCTTGCCATTCCTCCTTATCTCATTATTTAACTTGTTCTCTGGAGGGTTTTGCTTGGTATTAAGTCCTGGAGATCCTAAAGATTGGTCTCCCTCCCTCCTCAATTTTAGTTTAAAGCCCTCCTTGGAGAAGACCCTGATGTTGTCTTCTCAGGGTCTTCTCCAAGGAGAAGGGGACGACAGAGGATGAGATGGTTAGATAGAGTCATCGACACCATGAATTTGGGCCAACTTTGGGAAACAGTGGCAGATGGGGAGGGCTGGCGTGATGTGGTCTTGGGAAAAGTCAGGCATTGCTTAACGTCTGAACAACAACGACAACAAGCCAAAATTGGTTGGCTTGATTTCCTGTTTAAGAAAGGCTTTCAAGATGTATTTTTTTTTCAATCTCAGCAACTTGAAGAGATGTAAACTTCAACTCCCAGAATCTCCTAGCCAGTGCTGGCTGGGGGAATTCTGGGAGCTGAAGTGTACATATCTTAAAGTTGCTGAAATGGCAAAACACCTCTGTAGCCTCCTGACATAAAATTAGCTATGAAAGCACAAGAGGCAGCTTTAATCCCCTTTTTGGATTCTTGGAACCCAAAAGAAGTAAGTTTAAAAAAAAAAAAAGGATCATAAGCTTCTAACATAGCAAAATACATTTGGGGTAGCTATTTATCAGTGGTAACTATACTCTGCCAATCTCCCCCAAAACATTTAGTAAAGCACAATTAATATCAAAATACAGCAAGCAAATCCATTTGATGAAAAGTAAAAGCTCAATAATAAGTACACTTCATACCTCTTATTTGTATTATATTAAAATAATAAGTACACTTCAAAGCTCTGTTGCTTTGCATGTACATTGAGAGCTTCTTCACTGGAGACAAATTCCTTTTGTGTCTAATCACACATGGTCAAATAAAACTTACTCTACTCTACCCTACTCTACTCTACCTTACTCTACTCTACACTCCATTTTACACTCTACTGTACTCTACTCTACTCCACTCCACCCTACACTCATCTCTTCTCCACTCTCCATTACACTCTCCATTCTACTCTACACTACACTCTATTCTACATTCTGTTTACTCCACTCCACTCTAAATGCTACTCTACTCTACTCTACTCTCTATTTTCCACTCCACTCCACTCTAGTAGTGTAGAATGGAGTATACTACTCTACACTCTACTCCACTGCACTGCACTGCAGTCTACACTCCGTTCTACATTCCACTCTACACTACATTCCACTCTACTCTACTCTCTACTTGACTCCACTCTACAATAGAGTAAAATGAACACAATAGGCATCAGTCTTCACAATTTCACTTCTGAATTTGTTCTATCGGCAATCATCAAAAATAGAAATGTGCCTAACAGCTCCCGGCGTTATTGGGAAGACTGCCTGACCTCTCAGGAAGAAAAGTTAAAACCAAGATAAAAGTTGTCAAACCAGCTCAAGCATTTGCTTAACTTTCCTTTCGCTGTGTAGGGATTTGTTTGCCTGTTTGTTTATTTATGCAATTTATTTGCTGCCCATCTCATGCTCAACAATTTTGGGAAGCTTACAATAAGTCATGTTACTGAGGAGACGATTTGGGATGATTTTTAAAAGGAGGAAGTGATGGGGCTAACTCATTCATTTGTCAGCTAAAGAAATCCAATTGTTTTTTTTTAAAGAAAAAAAATTAAAAAATTAAAAAGCCTCGCTTTCAGGTTTCTGAAAAGCCCTTCATGAAAAATTCAACAGGACCCAAGAGGACAGGAAGTGGTCACCATCAGCCCTGCAATATTAATTCTGGGTGGAATTTTCTATTCCTGGTCATCCAAGCAGACAAATCCAGCTCAAGACAATGGCGGATTTAGTCAAAGAAAGTATTGAGGAATGGTATGTGTGTGTGTGTGTGTGTGAAAGAGAGAGGAGGGGCTACAAAAATAAGTGTCATTCTTTTGACGCTCCAAAAATAGAAGCAACATGAAATTACGGCAAATGGCATACAATGACATGCCCTGATTGATTCTTAAAAGACATGTTTGTTTCAGCAGGAAGAAAGAAGCAGCAGCGAGAAGAAAAAAGACGGGAAAATTGTAGACGTTCTTGGAGGTCAGCTTTTGACAGAATAACAGAGTTGGAAGGGACCTTGGAGGTCTTCTAGTCCAACCCCCTGCTCAAGCTGCAACCCTATATCATTTCAGACACATGGTTGTCCAATCTCTTCTTAAAGTTCTCCAGGGTTAGAGCACTCGCGTGCCGTTCCACTGGTTAATTGTTCTGCTGGGAAATTTCTTCTTCAGACGGCCTAGCTCACCACTCCTGAGTTCAGAATAACAGAATTGTAAGGGACCTTGTAGGTCATCTAGTCCAACCTCCCCACCTCCCACCCAAGCAGAAGACCCTACACCATTTCTGACAGATGGCAGTCCGGTCTCTTCTTGAAAGCCTCCAGTGATGAAGCTCCCACAACTTCTGAAGGCAACTTCTGTTCCATGGGTTGATTGTTCTCACTATCCGGAAATTTTTCCTTATTTCCAGGTTGAATCTCTCCTTGATCAGTTTCCATCCATTCTTCCTTGTCTTTTTAGCAGCTGTGCTATCCTTGCAGAGAAGAAGACAACGTGCTGCCAAGAAACATCTGGAGAACTTCTCTTCTCCTTAGGCTTGAAACAATGCAGAGATGTCTCCAAGCAGAAATCAGGTGGACTTTCTCTGGGCCTCCTTTTCTCGCTGTCAGAAAATTTCTCCTTATTTCCAGGTTGAATTTCTCTTTTTGTTCAGTTTCCATCCTTTATTCCTTGTCTGGCCTTGACCCATTCCTCCTGTCTGTGGCAGCCCCTCAAATATTGGAAGACTGCTATCATGTCTCCCCTGGTCCTTCTCTTCTCTAGACTAGCCATGCCCAGTTCCTGCAACCTTTCTTTGTATGTTTTAGTCTCCAGTCTCCTAATTATCTTGGTTGGTCTTCTCTGCACTCTTTCTAGAGTCTCAACCTCCTTTTTTTTTATAGTGTGGTGACCAAAACTGAATGCAGTACTCTAGGTGTGGTCTTCCTAAGGCTTATCAATGGAAATTTTGGGCTCAATTTTGGTCAGAAGTCAAGGACTACCCATATACTTCATCAACATCTGGAAGGGCTATAGATTTCCAACAAGTATGTTGGAGACTAACTGAAAAATTATGGTGGGAGAAACAACTCATTTGACAATAAGGTAGTCCCCAACTTACAACTATTCTTCAGCGACTGTTTGACATTGCAGTGGCATTTTAAAAAGCAACTTATAACCGGTACACTAACAATCATGATGGTACCCTAATAGCCACATGATCAAAATTCAAGATGCATGGCAACTGGCATGTACTTATGACAGTTTCAGCATTCCAGTCACTTAATCACCCTTTGCAACATACCCAGCTGTCTTCTGATGGGGTGAGCTGGATTTCCTTGTGATGCATTTAACTGCAGTGATTTGCTTAACAGTGGCAAAAAAGGGTCGTAAAATTGGGCATGTCTCACTTAACAACTGCTTTGCTTAAGAACAGAAATTCTGGACCCCAATACCGGTTGTAAGTCAAGGACTACCTGTACTGAATCTGCAGGTCAGTATTTTCTCTCCCGCAATGCCGCTTTCCACATTTATTATGCCCCTCGAACAGGGTGTCTTAACTTCCAATAACTATAATGTCATGCATGCTTCTGGGACTTCCGGTTTGCAGGGCTTCAGTGACAGGCAGGAATCTGCGATTGTGCGCGATTTCTGCCTGGGCTCGCCATTGGAGCGCCCCGAGCCAGCTGGCTTCGGGGCTAAGTCACCCTGTGAAGGTCGTAAAATGAGGCACAATTCACAATTCACTTCACAGCAGTCTCACTAGCAATTTGGGATAAATTGGGGTCATACACAGAGGGATAAATTGGGGTCATACACCTTTATGTATATACCTATATTTCACAGTTTCTCCTTTAGCTACTTATCCCTTTTTAAGAATCTTGTTCAAATCACAAGTTTATTTTTCTGCTAGCTACTGCATATCTACCAGATAGTTTACCCGAGGCGCAGAGGCATTTTTGACAGCATCATGGAATAATCTTGCAAAATTCTTATTCTTCCTTCATTTCTCTGTCGTAGACAGAGGGAATGCGAGAAAGAGGTAATGAGTTTGCAATCTACTGTCAAATTTATGAGACCGCTTTAAAAAAAATGACCTTCTTAGATTCACCCCATTTTAGGAGCACATCTTCAAAAATCATCTCTGAATTGCCAAGTTGCATTTCAGAATAACAGAGTTGGAAAGGTCCTTGGAGGTCTTCTAGTCCAACCCCATGCTCAGGCAGGAAACCTCATAACATTTCAGACAAATGGTTGTCCAATCTCTTCTTAAAAACCTCCAGTGTTGGAGCATTCACAACATCTGGAGGCAAACCTGGTTAATTGTTCTAATTGTCAAGAAATTTCTCCTTGGTTCTCGGTTGCTTCGCTCCTTGATTAGTTTCCATCCGTGGCTTCTTGTCCTGCCTTGAGGTGCTTCGTAGAATAGCCCGATTCCTTCTTTCTTTGTCCCTCACTTCTTCAGTATGTGGATATGTGGATTCAACTCCCAGAATTCCCCAGCCAGCCATGAAGTCCATACATCTTTAGCTTGCTGAGGTTGAGAAAGTAATAGATGGAGGGGGGGGCACCAATGTTTTTAGGGTTCAGGGAGATGGATTGGCTCTTCCACAGCTGGCAAAGTGGGGGCTGATCTGAAAATGTTGGGGAGACAGGGGGGAGGGGACTTCATTCATCTTCTTCCATAACTTCGAGCACAAGAGTCCGAGGTCCTGTCACAATGAGGTTGCTCACAGTCTGATAATCCAAGTGTAAAACATACATTCCGTTCACTGAGTAGACAAATTGGCAGACCTGAAAACGGAAGAAACAGAGACCAGTAAAACACCCCTGAACTAAACAACACTCTATCATCCCTCTCTTCTCTCTCTTTCACGCGCTCTCTTTTGCTCTCTTTCTCTGTAACAGATAACAGATAATGAGAGTTGGAAGGGACCTTGTAGGTCATCTAGTCCAACCCCCCCCACCCACCCAAGTGGGAGACCCTACACCATTTCTGACAAATGGCAATCCAATCCGACTGAACTGGTAGGTACACCGGTCAGATCCCACCCCTGATGGAAGGTCCTTTCCCTGGGAAAGGAATCAGAGATGAAGTTTCAATATATCTTAATTCATGAGGCTCAAATCTAGTACCTTCATGCCAGCAGCAGCAGCTGGTCCTCCTGGATCTACAGCTTGGATGTGGCATGGCTGACCTCCACGGACTACAAAACCCCAGCCAACTGCATCACCTACAATCTGCAAATAAGAAGGTAAACAAGGAGGAGGAGAGCACAGAAGGAAGGAGAAAGGACAAAGGGGAGGAGGAGGAGGAGGAGGAGAATGAGGAAGAGAAGAAGAAGAAGAAGAAGAAGAAGAAGAAGAAGAAGAAGAAGAAGAAGAAGAAGAAGAAGAAGAAGAAGAAGAAGAAGAAGAGATTATCTATATATCCATGGAATGTTATTGCCTGATAGGAAGTCAAGATGCATCTTGGGAAAAAAGGCAATGGCAAATGACTCTGATACCCATATCAAGAACTTTGTGGTTGTTTCCACAAAGTCATCAAAATTAAGGATGGGAAACTTGGCAGGTCATCTTTAGTTGATGCTATGAAAAAGTGCCATCCTTACTATTTGGGTGGCAGACCAAATCTTCAATCTCAATCTTAAGATAGAGCAGTATTTCTCAACCTTGATCATTCTTAGAGCAGAGGTCTCCAAACTTGGCAACTTTAAGACTTGTAGACTTCAACTCCCAGAATATGCTGGCTGAGGAATTCTGGGAATTGAAGTCCACAAGTCTTAAAGTTGCCACGTTTGGAGACCTCTGCTCTAAGAGGTGTGGACTTCAATTCCCCAGCTGGCTGAGGAATTCTGGGAATCGAAGTCCATACCTCTTAAGAGTAGCCATGGCTGAGGAACTGAGATAGACCGAGAAGTCAAAAGCCATGCTGAAATAAAAGAGTGGAAGATGATTTATCACACCATTGTCAAAGATGTGACATGGATGTGTTCATCACTTCACTAGGAAATGGCCTTGAGGTGAAACTTTTAGCCACAAATAATGGCAGTCGGGGGTGTTCTGAGTTACCGCACACAGTCAGAAAGATGGATTTCAGCAACAAGGCTAACTTGGTGACCTGCACACTCACTGTCAGTGTTTTCTTGATATAAGGTGCCCCGGGTGTCAAAAGCTCTTCGTTGGTGATGGGTCTCTTCAAGACTTGCATGGAAATAGAGAAAAATGGAAGATTAGGTTGGATTGGATGAGAGAAATATTCCAGCTTTTCAAATATCAGGTTCATCACTTTTGACAATGCGTTCTCTGCAGTGGTGGGATTCAAATTTTTTTTTACTACCGGTTCTGTGGGTGTGGCTTGGTGGGCGTGGCAGGGGAAGGAGACTGTAAAATCTCCAGTCAGAGGCGGGATTTGCCAGTTCTCCGAACGACTCAAAATATCCGCTACCGGTTCTCCAGAACTGGTCAGAACTGGCTGAATACCACCTCTGGTTCTCTGTTACATTAAAATCAAGAGACTAATGTTTTATGAATAAGGGTATTTTAGAAAGTTGATTATTAGCATTTTAAAACTTTGGTATTATTCGCTTAAATTTAGAAGGTGGTTGTCCGGGGTGGGATTCATATTTTTTAACAAACGGTTCTGTGGGCGTGGCTAGGTGGGCATGGCCATGTGACTGGGTGGGCGTGGCTTTTTGCAGCAATCCCCCCCCCATTTTTTTGGACCTTCTGGGCCTCAGGGAAGCCTCCTGGGGAGGTGTTTTTGCTCCCAGAAGGCTTCCCTGGGGCTCAGGAAGAAAAAAAAATGGAGCCTGGAGGGGGGGTACAGCACCCCCACACACTCCATTTTGGGGCCTTCTGGGCCTCAGGGAAGCCTCCTGGTGGGGCGTTTTGCTCCCAGGAAGCTTCCCTGGGGCCCAGGAAGTCAAAGAATGAGGGGGGGGCTCCATTTTTTGCCTTCCTGGGCCTCAGGGAAGCTTCCTGGGTGACGTGAGGGGAATCCCAGTACAGCTGATCATGGAATAGCTGATTGTCGGGAGGGAAAAAAGAAATATCTTATGGAGTGACTGGGTGGGGAAGAATGCAGTTAGTGATGTTGGGCATGCGTGCGATGTTGTGCATGCATGATAAGGACTGACTGGGCGGGGAAAGTAGGGGCGGGTGGAGAGAGGCGGGGCCAGCCAGGGGCACGATTTGTTGGTTCTCTGAACTGCACAGAATCATAACAACCGGTTCTATAGAACCGGTCCAAACCGGTAGAATCCCACCCCTGGTGGTTGTTGAATCTCTAGGCGAGACAGGCAGCACATAAATTTAATGAACAAATCAATCAATTGTTACTAATTATCCTCAAAACTAAAAGACATTTGAAGACATTTGGTTGTAATTATGGGTCACTTTTATGATGTTATGATATTCCCTTCCCCTGTTATGTCCGCATGTATTTTAATGTTTGACTCTGAAATTTAATAAAGATGTTATTTTTTAAAACAAAAAATATGATAGGAAGATCAGTTACATTACTGGTAGTCCTCAATTTACGGCCCAAAATTTCTATTGCTAAGCAAGACAGTTATTAAGTAAGTCTTGCCCCCATTTTATAACCTTCCTTGCCGCAGTTGTTAAGTGAATCACTGCAGTGGTTAAGGAAGTAACCCGGTTGTTAAGTGAATCAAGGTTCCCCCTTGACTTTGCTTGTTAGAAGGTCGCAAAAGGGGATCACATGACCCAAGGACACTGCAACCGTCGTAAGAGTGAACCAGTTGCCAAGCATCTGAATTTTGATCACGTGACCATGGGGAGGCTGACACGGTCATAAGTGTGAAAAAATGGTCATGTCCTTTTATTCAAGTGATGTTGTACCTTCGCACGGTCACTAAAGAAACAGTTGTAAGTTGAGGACCACCTGTGATTATTTGCACGTCATCTTGACTGTCCATTTCAAGTTGTCTCAACTGATCATTTTTGCAAATATGTCAAGTTTGGTTCTTGGTTCCGAAACTGTTTTTGTTCCTTCAAGTTTGCACTGAAATTTGCATCGGTTGTTGTGCACCTCGATAGGCTGCAATCATCAAAAATATAATCCCAGAGATCATAGAATAACAGAGTTGGAAGGAACCTTGGCAGTCATCTAGTCCAGTAGTTGCCAACCAGAAAATTTTGGTGGTCCGCAAAACAATGTCACCCCCAAAGCACTTCCCCTAAAGCAATTAATCCAGGCTGCACAGGAACACAAGGCTGCGCTGCCCACATGGCCTGCAGGAACACAAGGCTTGCATCGCTTGCATTGTGAACAACATAAGGTAGTGAGGGGAGGGGGAAAGTGCAGAGAGGGGGAAGTTGCCCCACATGCCCCACACGCCCCGGCTGGCCATTGGGCTGCTTCTTTCTGCTTCTTTCTTCTTCTGCTTTTGGCTGCACGCAAGGAAAGCAGCAAAAGTCTTTCTTTCTCTCCCCCAAACTCCACCAGAAATGAGTCTTTGGAACCCTGCAAGGCATCCTGCTCCAAGAGGCTGCCCCATTCTGGCGGAGTTTGGGGGAGAGAAAGAAAGACTTCTGCTGCTTCTGCTGCTTTCCTTGCATGAAGCCAAAAGTCTCTCTCTCTCTCTCTCTCTCTCTCTCTCTCTCTCTATCTATCTATCTATGTATCTATCTATCTATCTATCTATCTATCTCTCCCCCTGAGAACAGAGCTGGAGACGGTATCCTGCAATCTCAAATAAAGAATAATCGATCGGTAGGAAAACGGGAAATTTTCCTGCAGACTTTTTGGGGGATTTTCCCGGGGTCTCTGCTGCTTTCTGCAAGGACTCTGAGAAAACATCAGCAAGCCACTGTCAGTCAAAATTCATATTAGTGGTCTGCAGGATTTAAAATTATGAGTTTGGTGGTCCCTGAGGTCCAAAAGGTTGGCGACTCCTGATCTCGTCCAACCCCCTGATCAAGCAGGAGAGTCTATTCCAAATATTAGTCTCTACCTAGGATCGAACTCACAGCCTTCACCTGATTGTGAGGCGAGAGCTCCACCTCTAGGCCACATTCAATCAATCAAGTTGTCAAGTGTCCAGATTTTGATCAAGTGATCGTGGGATGCTGCAGCCATCATTAAACGTGAAAAATAGTCATAAGTCACTTTTTTCAGTGTTGTTGTAACTTTGAACGGACACTAAAGGAATGGTTGTAAGTTGAGGATTACCTGTATAATGAGCCACGGTGGTTAGAGTGCAGTGGTTAGAGTGCAGTACTGCAAGCTACTTCTGCCAGCTGACTGCAATTTGGCACTTTGAATCCCACCAGGCTCCAGGTTGGCTCAGCCTTCTATCCTTCTGAGGTGGGTCAAATGAGGACCCAGATTGTTTGGTGCAAGAGGCTGACTCTGTAAACCCCTTAGAGCAGGGGTCCCCAACCCCAATCCTCCCCAACTCCTACCGGGCCGCGGCTTGCTGGGCGCCGCCATCTTTTTTTGCAGGGCCACCTGTTTCCGTTGAACTTTTACTGGCTGAAAGGCCACCGGAAGCACTTTTTCATCAAAAAAGATGGCGGCGCCCAGCTGATGCCGGTACCAGGCCGTGGCGCCCAGCTGATGCCGGTACCGGGCCGTGGCGCCCAGCTGATGCCGGTACCGGGCCGCGGCGTCAAAAAGGTTGGGGATCACTGCCTTAGAGAGGGCTGTAAAGCACTGTGAAGCGGTATATAAGTCTAAGTGCTATTCCTATAGTTATACAATCCCCATTTGTGATGCCACTTCTTGTTTCACTTATTTTACAAGGAAAAGTAAACATAAGGGAAAATGAAGAAGCTTCTTGGATGAGAAGCGAAATGTCTTCAAAGAAAAACCAGAAAGCCCAGTTGCCTCTTGGAAAAAAAAAATCACTTTGGGACAACCATGGCCTGGAGCAGTGGTCCCCAACCTGTTTTGTACCACGGCCCGGTACAAAATGTACAAAATGATCCACGGACCGGTAACGCGAGACTCCACCGCCATCAGGATGGCTCTTCGTTCGAAGCCGCCCCCCCCCCCTTTGACAAAACTAAGGCGCGAGGATTCCTTCAGCACCCAAATGCCGCTTTCCAACCGACGACCGACAAGCTCACCCGGAAGCACTTTCTCAAGCGCCGTCGAAACAAGATGGCGGCGCCCAAGCAAAATAGGCGGCCCGGTACAAAATGATCCATGGACCGGTACCGGTCCAGGGCCCGGTGGTTGGGGACCACTGGCCTGGAGGACTGAGAAGCTCCACAGACATAAGGAAGAACGGCTCACCCGATTTAGGATTGCACTCAACAGCAGGCACCTGTCCCAGGTTTGGGGAGAGGTTGTAATAGAAACTGGATCCTCCAGCCAGGGAAGTCACACTGCTTCTTCGGACAGCCGAGACAATTTTGATTTCCTTATTGGTTTGGACTGAAAAATAAACCATGTTCAGTGTTATTCTTAGTACATAGAAATTGGCAAACAGACAATGCAGATGGATTCCCCACGCCCTTATTATGGCTAAAAGACTAATATGGCAGCATGGTAAAGATGTGTCTATGCCCCCCTTGTGGATTAAAGACCTGATTAAACCTGCTACTGATAATATGAGTGGATTACTACAAATGTTTATTTCTTATTTATTTAGAAGATTTATATGGCTGCCCACTCACTCTCGGTGACTCTGGGAGGCTTCGTAAAGGTATAGGTGACCCCTCGCACATACGTGCTAGTCGTTTCCGACTCTAGGGGGCAGTGCTCATCCCTGTTTCAAAGCTGAACAGCCAGCGCTCTCTGAAGACGTCTCCATGGTCATGTGGCCGGCACGACTAAACATCGACCGCGCATGGAACGCTGTTCCCTTCCCACCAAAGTGGTCCCTATTTTTCGACTTGCATTTTTAACATGCTTTCGAACTGCTAAGTTGGCAGAAGCTGGGACAAGGAACGGGAGCTCACTCCGTTATGCGGGACTAGGGATTCGAACTGCTGACCTTTCTGATCGACAAGCTCAGCGTCTTAGCCACTGAGCCACCGCGTCCTTGGGAGGCTTACAAAACCCAATATAAAGGAATAAAAAACAGTAACTCTCCACCCTCCTGGTGACAATATACAATCAAATGAGCCGCTTGAGAGCGGGGGTCAGCCTATTTTCCGAAGCACCGGAAAGCAGGAAGAGAAACATCTGAAATGGTATAGGATGCCTTGCTTGAGCCTTCCAACTTTGTTATTCTGTTACTCTGGGCTCCCCCAGGCCAATTGAACCAGAATAGAGCTGGAAGGGACCTTGGAGGTCTTCTAGTCCAGCCCCCTGCTCAACCAGGAGACCCTATACCTGTGATAGCGAACCTATGGCACGCGTGCCAGAGGTGGCACACAGAGCCCTCTCTTTGGGCACGCAAGCCATCTCCCAGCTCAGCTCTGCTGTGCATATGTGTGTGCGTGTCTTCTGCCGGCCAGTTGATCTTCAGGTCTTTGCTGAACATGCATGGGGGTCATACACACATGCACATGGGACACGGGGGGGGGGGGTCACACAAGCATGCCGGGGGGGGCAGGGTGCATGCCCGGGGCATGCGTGTTGCATTTTGAGGATGCATGCACACACTTTGAGCACTTGGTGCCGAAAAGGCTAGCGTCCGAGTATATTCATTAACTGGCAGAGACATGGTTAACAAAGTAAGCATGGCAACAGTCCAGCCAATGGGAGCTGACAGCCTGGGTGTGGTTTGGCTCTGTGTGCTTTGCTAAGAATTGAAAGTGAAACTAAACTGACTTGCTTGCTTACTGAAACTGGTATCTGCTCTGAGCTGCTGCTTGCTGTTTGTGTTATGTTACATTGAAAGAATCTGCAGATGGTATTGTAAACTTTACTCATATTAATATGTTTATAAAGAAGTTAATGATCCTGTGAGTCAGTCATCTCTGTGTTTTCTGGACTTGAATTTCTGCAGCAAACTTTAAGAGTTAGCCATCCCTGCCCTATACCATTTCAGGCAAGTGACTCTCCAGTCTAAAAGTCTGTAGAGATTCTCCGTCATCCAGGTCATGGTTGTTGTCCCAAAGGTGCTTCTTCTGGAGGCAACTGGACTTTCTGGTTTTTTTTCTTTGGAAGACGTTTTGCTTCTCATCCAAGAAGCTTCTTCAGCTCTGACTGGATGGTGGGGAACGGAAGGATTTTATATTTTATGGACTTTTAGCTATACACTTTGGGATGAACATCCTTTGAATGGTGTGGGAGTGGGAATGGATATCCAGAGGGAAAAATTGCAGACTGCAGGAACCAGGAACACCACTCCGGTGACCCTGAGGACACAGATAAACCTCCCAGTGGCCTCAATGACCCTCTAAAACAGGGCTGTCAAACTCGTGGTTCACGGGGCGGATGCACCACATCCTGGCCATGCCCAGTTTAGCAATGGGGGGGGGAAGTCCCGATACGTCACATGACGACGCCATGAAACACGAGTTTGACACCCCTGCTTTTCAAGCCAGTTGTTTATTGGGTTGCCTTCTGGAGCTTTGGAAAATAGGTTGATCCCCTCCTCTTCTTTGTGGCAGCCCCTCAAATACTGGAATACTGCTATCATGTTCCCCCCTAGTTCTTTTTTTCTCTAACCAAACCCAAACCCTGCAACCATTCTTCATATGTTTTAGTCTCCAGGCCTTTAATCCTCTTCCAACTTCAGTGCCTATGTACAGGAAGAGTGTCAAACATTGAGGCCAGACTTAATCTCTGTAGGGATGATGTTCCAAAGGGAGGGAGCCACATGCATTAACTTTTTATGGATAAATATAATAAAATATGACATAGAATGTAGAATTCTATGGCTGGAAGGGACCCCAGAGGTCTTCTAGTCCAACCCCCTGGCTCAATGCAGGCAACGCATGCAAAATATAGTCAGTTAAAACCCAGCACTGATTTCTGGTTTTCAGCAAAAATGCACTCGTAACAACCAGAGCAAAAAAGGTCGTAAAATCAGGTTGGTCATATCATAACTCAAAGAATCTATTTGTGTGTGTGTGTGTGTGTGTGTGTGTGTTTGCATAATTTTTGCAATAAATAAACATAAATTGAAATTGTAACTCTTCACCTTCATAACAACCTATTATACTCTGCTTATTTTTTCTGTTCTACTTTTTCACTTATTTTAAGCACTTGCTACACGTTTTATTATTACACATATGTATTTCGATGTTTTATTTATTTATTTATTTGATTTGTCAATTGTTTACAAGATAATAAGTATAAGTGTATACATAGTTGTGAATACATGAGATGGGTACATATAAGAAAAATAAAAGAATAGAGAAACAATAGGACAGGGACGGTAGGCACGTTGGTGCGCTTATGCACGCCCCCTACAGACCTCTTAGGAAAGGGGTGAGGTCAATGGTAGACAGTCTAAGGTTAAAGTTTTTGGGGTTTGGGGAAGAAACTACAGAGTCGGGTAGAGTATTCCAGACATTGACCACTCTATTGCTGAAGTCGTATTTCCTGCAATCAAGTTTGGTGCGGTTAACTTTGAGTTTGTATCTATTGTTTGCTGTTGTGTTGTTATGGTTGAAGCTGAAGTATTCATTGACAGGTAGGACATTGCAATGTATGATTTTATATACCATGCTTAAGTCAGACCGAAGACGGCGTAATTCAAGGTTTTTTAGTTCTAGAATTTCAAGTCTGGTGGCATATTGTTTTTCTCTTTTTTCTCTTATGTGTGTGTGTGTGTAAGTGTGTGCAGCATTTGACCAAATCTGCAGCATTTCACATTCTGTTGTGAAACGAGTTTTTATTTCTTTAGCCTTTCTAGATTAATAAATAACATTCTTTTCTGAATCTGGGCAAAATTGTAGTTATAGCAATAATAGCACAGGGTGAAAATATAAATGGATTTGTAGCTCAGGCTTTATAGCCTGGATTGCTATTCTAAGCAACTGAGGGCCAGGAGTTGAGATAAGGGACAATCTGTCATGATTTCAAATTTTCATACAAAAAAATATATTCAATTGACACCTGTCCAGCATAGTTCCTTAATTACCAGCCATCTGCCTCCTAAAAGTCTTTTTTTTTTTCCAAAACTGTTTTGTTGATGTTCACTGTTCTGTTTTCAACAGCTATTCAAGGAAATATATTCAATAAAATGTATCTTGGAACGCATGCTTTAAAGAAAGTGTGCACAACCGATATATGATATTATTATGGCAATTTGTTTCGTCTAAATGTGTCGTTATTTTTTTAAAAAATGGTGCAAAATCAAATATTTTGGGTGAAACTTGTTCAAACAAGCATGCATATTTTCTGCGGGCTGTAAATGGAGAAAGTATACAAGTCCAGGCTTGGCAGATGGCAGATTCTCCATTATCTGGAGAATAGGATTTGCAAAGCAGAAACAGTGTGAGAATATTAGGGAATGTGCAGTTTTTCAAAAATTGGTTTTTTGTGTGTGCATGTATGTATATATGCATGTATGCGTTTATGTATTAAACAAATGTGTATTCCCTGCCCAGTTCACACATAGGTGACTGTGGGCATATTACAACATTTAATTTTTTTTAATTAAGTGCTGGGATAAATGAAGAAGTAGAGCTGGATAACGGAACCAGATTGATGTCTTATTCAAAGGATATTTGTCCTTCTCTATTCCTCCTCCAAAGGAGGATTCTGCCTTTGCTTTCTTCTCCTTTTTCTCCTCCTCCTTTCTTTTCTTCTCCTTCTCCTTCCTCTTCCTGCTCTTTCCTTCATTTCCTTCTCTTCCTCCATCCTTGGGGTTTCCTCCCCTCTCTCCTTTCTTCTTCCTTTCCTCTCCTCTACTCCTTTCCTTCCCTCTTTCCTTCCCTTTCTCCTTTCTTTCCTTCTTCATTTTCTTTCCTTTCTTCTCTATTTCCTTTCCTCCCCTCTTTCCTTTCCTTTCCTCTTTCATTTCCTCCGATTTCTCTTCCTTCCTTTCCTTTCCTTTCCTCTTGTTTTTCTTCCTTTCCTTCCTTTCTTTTCCTGTTTTTCTTCCTTTCCTTCCCTTCCCTTTCCTTTCCTTTCCTTTCCTTTCCTTTCCTTTCCTTTCCTTTCCCCTCCCCTTTCCTCCTATTTTCCTTCCTTTCCTTTACTATTTTTCTTCCTTTCCTCTCTTCTTTCCTTTCCTTGCCCCTGCTTCTCCATTCTCCCTTCTTTCTCTTCCTTCCTACCTTTCTTCCTTTCCTCCTCCTCCTTTTTCCTTCCTGCTCCCCCCCCCTGCCCAATATCTTCAGATGCAGGTACCTGACAGGAAGCTGGAGGGGTCTTGCTCGGGGTTCAACTTTCGGAGGCAGAAGGGACTATCCGGACTGTCCGAAAGGGTCCTCTGCAAACTTTCACTGAGTAGTTCCGTGAGTCGCCTCCTTCGGCGGAAATTGATACGAAACTGGTAGAGGAGATCCCGGTCATCAAAATGGCACGGAGTGGAGACTGTGGATAGAAAGAACCTACCGGTAAGTCCTTGACCTACAGCCATTCATTTAGCGACTGTTCAAAGTTAAAGAGGGACTGATAAAAGGGACTAATGACCGTTTGTTCACACTTCATGTCCGTTGCAGCATCCCCTGTGGTCAACATGATCAAAATTCAGCAACTGGCATTGTCAGAAGACCCTAGGAAGGTCACAAATAACCGTCACTTGACCCCGGGATGCTGCAACCATCATAAATACATGCTGGTTATCTAGTGCCCAAATGTTGATCACGTGACCGTGGGAACGAACCATGGGACCATATGAAGAACGGTTGCAGGAAGTGGGTATGTTTAGTTTAGTGAAAAGAAGGACTAAGGGAGACATGATAGCAGTCTTCCAATATTTGAGGGGCTGCCCCAAAGAAGAGGGAGTCAAGCTATTCTCCAAAGCTCCTGAAGGCAGGACAAGAAGCAACGGGTGGAAACTAATCAAGGAGAGAAGCAACCTAGAAATAAGGAGAAAATTCTTGACAGTGAGAACAATTAATCAGTGGAACAACTTGCCTCCAGAAGTTGTGGGTGTTCCCACACTGGAAGTTTTTAAGAAGAGGTTGGATAACCATTTGTCTGAAGTGACATATAGGGTTTCCTGCCTAAGCAGGGGGCTGAACTAGAAGACCTCCAAGGTCCCTTCCAACTCTGCTATTCTATTCTATTCTATTCTATTCTATTCTATTCTATTCTATTCTATTCTATTCTATTCTAATGCTGTAATGGTCACAAGTGCAAGGAATGGTCGTAAGTCACTTTTTAGCACCTTCAAACAATTGTTAAAATGGTCATAAGTTGAGACTACTACTATTCAAACCATTATGCCAGGGGTCCCTGACCCCCCCAGGGCTGACTGGCACTGGGCCACAGCACACCAGAAACCAGGCCTCGCAAATAAGCGAAGCCCCATCTGCAGGATGCTGGCAGCATGTCAAACCACACTCCCTCCGGTCCACGGGAAAACATCTCTCCACAGAACCGGTCCCTGGTCCCCCCAAAAGATCGGGAGCTGCTGCATTAGGCCACATAGCTCTTCAGCGGGGTCCTTGGTCCACTCTGAGCTTGGTGGTTTCCTTGCAGACGTCTCATTACCAAAGTAGGTAACATCATCAGTGCTAGAAGGGAATGGGGGAAGAGGAGGAGGAGGAGGAAGACTGTGGGGTCCTTGGTGCTCTCTGAGCTTGGTGGTTTTCTAGCAGATGTCTCATAACCATGCTAGGTGTCTTCATCAGTACTAAAAGGGAGTGAGGTTTGGGAGGAGGAGGAGGACAGCGACTGTAGGGTCCTTGGTGTTCTCTGAGCTTGGTGCTTTTCTTGCAGACATTTCATTACCAAACTAGGTGCTAGAAGGGAATGAGAGAGGAGGAGGAGGACTGGGGGTCCTTGGTGCTCTCTGAGCTTGGTGGTTTTCTTGCAGACATTTCTTAACCATGCTAGGTGTCTTCATCAGTGCAAACCCCACTCCTTGCAGCGCTGATGATGTTACCTGGGTGGGTAAGGAAATGTCTGTAAGAAAACCTCCAAGCTCAGAGAGCACCAGGAAACCCTACAGTTTAACTCTCAGCTACCAATATTCTCTTCTCTCCCTTTTTCAGTCTCGTGTGCCACCTTCTCAGGGTTATTATTTCCTATGGCATATATACCGTGCTGGATGATCCCGTGTTCAAGGAGGGTTTGGCAGAGTTCCGTAGCTTCCTTCCGGTTTGCGACCTCCCCTTCCTCCACCAGCCAGTCCACCATCTCACACCCCAAAAAGCTCCTCTGGTATTTAATCAGGTTCTCTTCTCTGGCTTTGAGAATGGAGTTGTCCATGCCGATCAGCCTACAATCAACAGACCAGAAGACAGAGAAACAAGGATATCTGTTGAGTGAAACAATCCACAAATCCAGTTCAGACATGCAGCAAATTCAAGTCCAATTGGGCAGGAGTGCAGGGGGTCTTCCATTTACAACCACTCATTTAGTGAGCTCACTAAAACAGCTCGTTTAGTGAAGATTGTGCAAAAGCTGCAATAGTGGTAAAAACGTGAGGAGGACCGCTCACAAGTCACCTTTTTCAGGTGTTCCTGCAGCTTGAAATGATTGCCAAATTTACAGATTAACAGAGTTGGAAGGGACCTTGTAGATCATCTAGTCCAACCCCCCCACCCCACACAAGCAGAAGACTGTACACTATTTCTGAGAAAGTAATGGTTCTAAGTCCAAGACTACAGGTCATCCTCAACTTATGATCAGGGGTGGAATTCTACCTGGTCGGACCGGTTCTATAGAACAGGTTGTTATGATTCTGCCCAGTTCAGAGAACCGCCAAATTGCACCACTGGCTGACCCCGCCCCTCCTCACCCACTCACTCCTTATCTGGCATGCGCATCATCAAACTTGCCTGCTAAATTGCTAATTGTCCTTTTTTTTTCCCGACCATCAGCTGTTCTGCTGTGCCAGAAGATTTAAATTAGCTAGAAAGCAGGAAATTGTTGGATTTCTTGCTTTCTAGCTAATCGGAAAGCAGAGCAGAACCTTCCTTAGGACTGAAGCTTCGATTTTTCAGTGCAGACTCAGCTAGCAGATGGCAGATAGATAGATCTCTAAGTGAATCTGTGATTCTGTGAGCAACTTAATCTGCCTGCCTGCTTTGCCTGATTTTGGGTAAAAGTTGCTCTTTTTTTAATAAAAAATTAAATATTTACATAAATATTTACAATATTTACCTACAAGCCACGCCCAGCCAGTCACATGACCCCCCCAAGCCACACCCAGTCAGCAAACCATGCCCAGCCAGTCAGATGACCACCAAGCCACACCCACAAATTAGGCCATGCCCACAGAACCGGTTGTTAAGAAATTTGAATCCCACCTCTGCTTACGACCACAATTGAGGCCAACATTTATGTTGATAAGTGAGAAATTTGTTGAATTTTTTTTCCCATTTTACAACTTTTCTTGCCTCATTTGTTCAGTGAATCATTGCAGTTAGTAAGTTAGTCACCCGGTTGTTAAGTTGACTCTGGTTTCACCCCAGGGACTTTGCTTGTCAGATGGTCACAAAAGGGGATCGATCACCTGACCCTCCTGGGACACTGCAACCATCATAAATGTGAGTCAGTTGTCAAGCATCCGAATGCAAATCAAGTAACCATGGGGATGTTGCAACGGTCACACGAGACCCTTTTTTTCCCAGTGCCGTTGTAACTTCAAACAGTCACTAAGCAAACGGTTGTAAGTCAAGGTCTTTGTATTTATTGTCTTTTAAATCAGGGGTGGGATTCAAATTTTTTTAACAGATCTGATCTCTAATCTAATAGAAGGTGAAAATATTTATCTAATCATTTCTTCCAAAATAGATCAGCAAAATTAAAAGAGAGAAAGTACAATGGTTAAAGAACTGCACCAGGACTGGGACAATCGTAGGATCACAGAATTGGAAAGGATCTCAGTGGCTGGCTGGGGAATTCTGGGAGACGAATCCAGACACCTTAAAAGTTGTCAAGTTTGAGCAAAACTGTTCTAGAAGCCTATCACTTTTTTTCCAGTTCCATTATAACTTTGAACGGTCACTAAACGAGGACTTCCTTGCAATTCCAAGCCATGTCAAACGAAAAATGAGGTGGCAGAAATGAGGTTTTCTATAAAGATTTTTAGAAGGATTCTAATTCATCTATCACCACTGGAGGGCAGTATAAGCCTACTTAATTTCTCTATTTACTGTTTTAATTTGGGGGCTTTTTTGGCTCCTGACAAGTGCCTGAATTAGTCCTCAGATCCAGAAAAGAATGCAATGCTTCAAATGTCACCAAAGTGACTAGTCCCTGCCGTTTTCTTGGCAAAGTTTTTCAAAAGGCGTTTGCCAAGTTATGCAAAAGCACGGGAATTCCGTGCCAGTTTGCAGCAGGGGTTCGGTTGTGTCTCAGAAAATTTTGCCATTTTGTCTTACCTTTGCACAGCCACTTTAGAGATATTTATTTATGTCCCACCTGTATTATTTTTTATAAATAATTCAAGGCAGCGAACAAGCCTAACGCTCCTTCCTCCTCCTATTTCCCCACAACAACAACAACAACAACCCTGTGAGGTGGATTGGGCTGGGAGAGAGAGTGGCTGGCCTCGAGTCACCAGCTGGCTTCCGTGCCTAAGGTGGGACTAGAACTCATAACCTCCTGGTGATTGGCCCAAAGTCACCCAGCCAATTTTTATGCCTTTTCTTTCTTTCTTTCTTTCTTTCTTTCTTTCTTTCTTTCTTTCTTT